AAGAAATTTATAGCTTCGAATATGGGAATTGGGTCGCATTATTTTAATCCATGAATAGTGAAACCGTGAATAAAGGAAGCGCGAATAAGGAGTTGTTACTGTATGACACACTGGGGAGATGAACTATGCTTTGATGGGAAGCATAGATGTGCCGAAACTCTCACCTCCCAGCGGTGATCCCCGGGCAACGGCTTCGGCCGGCTAAGAAGAGTTTAAGGTTTTGGGCTGCTAACTCGGCGACGAGTTTCTGAGAGATGGTGGAGGGGTTGGCTGGAAGAAGAGCTCTTACTCAATAGCTAGTTACTACCGAGGAAATATATTGAATGGTGCTTAAGTACAATGAAGGTAGTAATCTAGCGAGTGCATGGTAGAGTGCATTAGATTAGTCTACCATGTTCAGTGCAATACCCGAGACCTATATATCTTGAAGAAAAGTAGTTCACTGGTGCTGGCAACCAGGAAAGTATGGAGAATCCGAAGCAAGTACGGTTGTTTTTAACAACCGCCGAAAGAATGCCATAAGGCTTTGCAAAACAAACTGGGAGCCACGGGGGTCAGGAAGCTCGCCTCACAAAGCCGCGTATGCCTGCGGGTATATGATGGACTTTGTCCTTAAGTCGTAATAAATAAATTAATTATACTATTAATGCAAAAAGGAATTGACGGACGGCCTTCCCTTTGGCCGATTGATAGAAAATGTCTGGTAAATTAATTAATACATGCAAAAATGGAAAAGGGATATGACGAATAAGTTTTCCCCTTTTACCTATTTTTACTTTTGAACACATGTCACGGATGCCTGCGGGTAATGGTGGTAATTGATCAACAGCACAGTGGATGCCGTATGGCGGAAGCAGTCAGTTGATCAATTTGTGAGTCCTGACTGCTTGGGTGCGGCCCTTCGGGGAGTACTCGTGGTGGTTGTGGTTGGCGAGTTCCTAGCTAAAATGGAACAATTGAGTGCAGCTAGGCCTCGCCATTCACCAGAGTGGGGTTTATTGTTCCATACACAATAAACTGTTCTCGACTCTGGTGCTGTTTAGGCCCCTACTCTGTGGGGATTGTCTAACTCGCCAGGGGGCTTAGTACGCTTAAAAGTGGCTTGGGCCACCGTGGGGTTAAGCCTTTCAGGCAGGAACCCACGTTAAACCCTTGCCACAAATTCTGTATGACACACTTTAATTCTTTAAGAACCGTTAGAATATACACTATTACGGTGACCACAGTTTAAGCAATTTTGTTTATTCATAGATATAATTAAATAAGAATTAGTATACTACAAATATGATGATGTCAAAAAAGAAAAATGCATTCTATACCACATAATCATTTTCACATGTTTTAATCGTTTAATTAATACCTTTCGGCAAAATAGAGAAGTTGTTAGATTTAGCGTACTGAAGCCGAACAGTTCGGATACATGAGAAATGATGCACAAGTCTCTATAAGAGGAAACTTTGTAACTACATTCATCTTTACTCTGCTACCACCTACATAATTACATTATAATATATACCAATCAAAATCGGAGAACTAAAAATGTTCGAACATTACCACCAAATTCCCCACATCACAACCGAGAACAAACCTCTCTGGATGCGATACATAAAAACTTTGCTTTAATAAAAGAAAATAAGTAATCTCAATCCACATTTTACGTTGACTTGTCAATATATTATGTATATCCGTCGGATATGTATTGATAGTAACGACGAAATCCAAATACATAATGCATCCGACTCTCTATAGAGAAACGAACAACAAGCAATGGAGAAAATAACATAACTGAATACATAAATCAAAGAAAATGTTAATTAGCAACTACATAAACAAGCTTAAATGTTCTCTAGGAAACCAAATAGACGCTATTACATTCACGCCCCATATTTTAACACAAACAAAGCTCGACGTAATTGCAAACTTCGATAGTTACACAAACATTAACGTTTCAGTTATTCTCCAAGACAATAAGATTGTGTTAGTTACATTAACTCCTCAATACTCCACAAGCGTCGTATTAAAAATCTTTTTCAAACAAATCCTGAAACCTTAGAATGAACGAAGGAGGAGGTATGATCTCTATAAATAAAATCGCCACCACGCGGTCATGTAATTTTTACTAATTTTTCTGAAGTTTATATTGTTAATTTTCATTTGAAATGGAATAAAAAGATAAACATTGAAACGACAATTAAGAGTTTATTAGAAATTCACATTGTAATACTATTTAAATTTAATTTTAAAATTTGGCAGAGTGAACGGTAAGCAGATTGTAGCAAGTAAACAATAAGTGATCTTTAGAGAAAATAAGTAAAAATGGTAGACAAATTTTAAAAATGTAAATTCTAACCCAAATGCAAAATTTGAAAGTAGCCAAAAAGTCAATCAATACATTCGAAGAATGTAATAAAATCACAATGTGATTTAATGTTTAAGAATTTTATTTAACAATAAGTAACAAAATTAAATTCTATTCGGACTGAATTTTTAATTCCGATCACCGTTCATCCCAAAAAAAGGCAAAAGAAGTAAAAGAACAAAATTCTCATACTCTATAATATGGAGTGGGAGCAGTTGATTTCTTCTATTTTCACAATAAAAGTTTTTGTCGCACACGCGTGTGCGCATTGTAAGCGTGTCCTTTGAAAAGTTTAGGTCAAATCCAATTTTGTTCGCAAATTTGTAGGCAATATCTTTATTTTCGCTAATAGGAGAATGTCCAACATAAATGCTACTAAGTTGCGCAAACAGACAGATGGACAGACGAGCAGGCGCATACGTTTAAGTGCATTCAAGATTTGAAACTGGCCAAGAGTGTGTTTACTTTATGGAGTTTTTATAGTTTGCCTCTGCGCGTTATAAAGTTATTGAAAAAAAGAATGAAATTTTGATACACTATAACATTAGGCAGACTTGGTCAACTTTTATTAATAGACTAATTTCCCCAGTAAAGCCTCATTCTTCAATTCTTCGCGCTTGGTCATTTAACCTTAACATAAAATTATCTAAGTATTCCATTGATCTTGTCGATTTAATGCAATGTCTTCGGATAAGTCTTGGCAGCAGACTCAACATTAGCCGCCAATAATAATGAGAGACATTATCAAAAGCTAAAGTTCGCCTTGCGGCCCGAAAAATTTGCAATCAAAATCTATATCTGCCTCCGTAGATTAAACTTACCGCTGTGCGTCCGCTCCTCATGACGCATGTCAACTATTTTATTGAAATTTTTTCTGAGTGCCAAGATATAACTCACAAAGACTTGAAAGTGTTATTAATTATTTTGTTCATAACGTCAAACATAGGGATCACGTTTCCTCTTATCTTCATGCATTCTCAAAATTTTCCTTTCCCGATTATCTAAAATTCAGGTTGCTTATCTACCTCTACCAAATCATTCAACCTTGATGAAACCCTTCCATATTAATAACACGTATTTCTAACGTATCATCCGAACGATCTTTTAATCTTTTTTTTTCACTACATATTGGAATGGTTTATCACTAAATCATTCGATGATTGCTTGAAAACGTTTAGAAAAAATTTGACCGCACTGCTAAACTCATAATGTGTATTTTGTTGCTGGTAGGAATTGGAGTTTCTAGAGCAAGATGATTACATTTGCAACCTCCTAGCTAACTTGTGTACTAATTTTTATTGTAGTTGTAGTATCTATTTAATTAGGTAATAGGCTTATGGCTTTAGCCACTTACATCAATATTAAGAGATATATAATAATTCTTTAGTCTAAATGTGTAGTTTATACTTTGCTTAATTCGATGGTTTTTTAAGCCTAATAAAGCTGCTGCAATTACGTGGTGGATTAATAGTAATAAACGGAAAGAGTATTACGTGATCTTTAGTTGCGATGCTTTTATTTTGTTAAGCGAAGCTTTCAACTGACATCAAATATAAGTTTTTTGGAAAGAGGGCAACATATACTGATAAACTGATCGAAACAATTTTATTTCTGCCCTTGTTTTCACCTTTGTAGTATTATACATTTCTGGCCTTTTCGCTTCGTTAGTTATTTTCAAAATATTGTAATGCTTCACCAGCACGATGCTGGTAGTACATCACGTGCTCTTACTCAAAGTTTAATCCACTCGTTCAAGACAGAATTTTGCTTAATGTGATTATATGTAGATTGTAATACACGTTAAACTTTTTCATTTCATGTAGGCATATAAATAAATTCTAATAAACAATAGCATTAAAAAATTTGATCGGTTTTTTATCGCATAACGTAGTTAGTATGATGTACGTGTTAATGCGTTGTTCTCTATTATTTAAAGATGGTAAGCAACTAACTTTTGTAAATTTGTAAACATTTTTTTTCTGTTTAGATGTCTAACTTTTGTAATATAGTAATGTTTAGAGATTGACACCATTTTTTATATTATTCTGTTCTGCTCTCTTAAAATTTTTGCCGTTACTGTGATATATTGACGTTGAAACTGATTTCATATTCTTTAAAAATTATTTTCGTATTGGTTAAAAATCGAATATACTATATTTCCTGAACAATTGCTCCACCTTCAAGTAAATAAAGTCCGCACTTAGATTAGGAGAACGCCAATACTATCAATTTAGTCAACAAATACATATACACGGGAAGATAATGCATTCGTCTCACACAAATCATAGCTCCACCTTTTTCGAAACGGTTTATATTCGTTGGTGAACGTCCACATACTCGTTACAAATTAGTGTTTTTTGCAAGCGCAACAACAAGATGTTTTACAGTTAAATTTACCAACAGGGCGAACGATCAATAACAGTGACGTAGGCTATTAAGTATGCAAGACGGCGAGTTCGTGGTGAATTCAGGCACCAAAAATGCTGTTAACAGCGCAAATGTAAACGCAACATTGGCCCGAACACACAGAAGCGGTCGTTTAGTGGGAATTTTGAATGCTTGAAGCCGAATGTGTTGTTGTTAAACCTTGTTGGATTGTTAGTCAAACAATATCTAACGATACTTACACAAGCCCAGTATCAAGTTGTCGCGTGATGCGGCAAAACGTGTTGGCGGTTATTTTACGTAGTTTTTCTATTATTGTGCTATTGCTATTGTTACTAATGCTGTGCGCTAGGTTTAGCTTCGTTTCCAACTGCAAAACAACTATTTTCCTCTCTGCAGTTAAAGATCATTTTGTGTGTTTTGCCGGCAGAGCATGCGTACCATAATATTTCGATCAAAGTTATATGTGCTTAAATGAGTGCACATGCATTCGTGTAAACGTGTTTGCTATAATAATGTTGCGGAAGTCCATCTCTGTTTAACGGCTGAATTCTTCATTCGTTCACTTGTTCGCACGTGAAAAAAAGAAACGTATAAGGAAATAGACAAAAAAATAAATGTCACAGTAACAGCGACTCGTGAACGTGTATAACATGTGCGTTGCTACGTTTTTATGATGTTCAGTTAAGATTTCTGAACATGGCACCCCACCACTTGACTCTCTAAAAGTCACTGATTTTTGTTTCTGTCAGTTCCACGACTTCGTATTCCCATATTCTTCGTCTGCACCAACGTATGTATGTAAGTGGAGTAATACATATAAAAAATATAAAAAATTATTCTGTGCACTTTCTTCATTTCATATGCCTTTGCATCAGCTACGTTTTATATATAAACATAATGTATATTTATAGTTCTATATATTTATATGTATCGGTGTATACATGATTATATATATTCATAAGGATCTATGCAAATATTTATAATTTATAAAATTTCTCACGAATATATTTGCATTTTAAAGAAGCTTACGATTCGCAAGCCTATAAAATATGATGAAGATGGTGCGATTATTAAGCTAAGGTGTTGCATCTCTTGCTGTCCACCCACAATCAGCATTTGACAGACATCGCCCGTACTGACAACACATATTCAAAATATTCCATGCGCAACTTTAACAAAAATTATAAAAGCAATTAGGAAAAAATTGAAAGCAAAGCAAATAGAGTGATTTCACCCATCAGGGTGTGCACAAAATTGCGGGTTTGCTATTGTATCGCCCATTTAAAATGTCTGAATAGGAGAGCACCGCTTAATATTGTCAGATGCCACCTGTTGATTACAAATTACGCATAGCCGATATGACCGAATATTGGATAAAGCAATGAAGAGAAACATAACAGCAATGAATTCATTAAATTTTTTGTAATGCATCCTGATGCAACAAGTTAATAGCTGTTTAACTGCAACAAACCACACTCGAAGTGCAACAGTTGGCTCCAAGCTAAGTTGTTCAATGATTGTAGTCAAGTAGACCGGATGCAGCGTACACAGAATTTTCGCGGGTGAACTTAGTAAAAAACGGTTGCATTATGTCAGTGAGCTAGTTTATACATGCTAATCGAAGCGTTGGATAAGTCGTAGAATACCTTCGTTTTTTAAAGCGACAATTCTTTCCTCCAATATTTTATTTCGTGTAATATTCTGGCTGTCGTGTAAATGTGTTACCAATATTACCAAAATTGTATATGTGTATATACAGTATAAAGTTAATATTCAGATATATATATATATATATGCATATTCGTTTTATGTATATATATGCGTGGTTGTTGGGTACTTATAAATTGCGAGCAAATCACACTTCGTTGTGTGCACCTAAATGAAATTATAGCTTAGCAAAGTAAGCAGCGCATAGCACAAGTTTCTGCTTCACAAACTTCAAATTTTTGAGTCGAAAGACGATAACGCTTTATATGTGTAATCAGAAAATACAAAGAAAATCGAAATCATCACCATATCCAAATTAAACGTTACGCGTTACAAACGACGATGTCTCTGTCTATCTTGATAAAAAGCGTACGTGGGTGCATGAGATTTGTTTGCACGCGGCTATGTCTTAGCCTTTTTAATGCTACGGTTCTTAAATGATCACCTTATGATCTTATTTTTGTGATCATCCAAGAGGTTTCCTCGACCAAATAATATTGATGTTTTCTCAATAAGTAAAAGTGGATCTTCGATGCGACTTTTGAGAAAAATGTGCGTACGAAACATAGGTTCGTACGAGATTAATTTTCAAGTATTAAATATTAACAGTATTTTGCAGCGCGCGCGACCCCAACCCAACGATGTCCACGACTGCGATTCGGTAAACAAAATGTCACTTTCTTGATTGTTTTGTCTTTGGATTTTATTTGCTACCGTTCGTTAAATATAATTGCTTCGTATGCATTTTGTGTGTTCATGGTATAATATAATTAGCTTTGTACCTATATTAAAAAGAAACGTCGCCAAAAGCTCGATGCGCAGTTACTTTTGCTCATCGTTCAATCATTGTCAGCGCATTTTTTGTAATACAACATCTACTGACATAATCGTAATATTAATAGCACTCATATCAACTAATAACAAGAGCAGCAGAAACATCTCAGCCATTATCGTCGATTGTTGTGTTCATCGCCGTCAAGACTAATACGCTTAACAGACGGCATTGGTTATTTTAAAAACAATTTTACAATTTAATGATTTTCATGGTAAGCTCCATTGTATTCGAAGTAATAATAACCTAATGTAGGAATATTCAAAGTCTCATTCGTGATGCCATATAACGCAACCCATATTTCAACTTATAACTCAGAAAACCTTTCTGCGAGTATAAAAGAGTCCACCATTTGTCACATGACTTTTGATACTCACTTGTTTTAAAATCTTACATATTTTATTATGTATTCTGGCAGGTTTACGGCTAACTCAAAGGGCCAAGGCCCTTATATATCTGTTTTTAATATGTAATTATGGGTGGCATATTAACTTGTAGTTTATTGCTATCAGTTTTCTAGTTATAAATGTTGATTTGTCAGTTAAAATCCATTGTAATCAACTGAAAATCAAGAGCAACCAATTAAAAATCAGAAGGCAGCAAATGAACGGCAGTTCATTATATTTTTTGCTTATCAAAGGATTAGATATGTATCCATGCCGAAGACGAGTTTCTTTTCAATGTTGAAACGTTTTGCCAAATTATCTAGAGCAAGTTACATGACTTTTCTCCACTCTGTAACAATGCTTCTGCCAAAATGAATTCAATGACGCCTTGCTGATATTCTTAAGCAGTGTTAACAAAGAATATACCAATTTCTTGCATAACAAGTAAACATTTGGTACATGTCAGAGTTGAAAAGACATGAAAAACATAATGCTAATGCATAGTGCTGTTTAACAGCAATGCAGCGTTGTATAACATTTTATGTAGATGTTTTTATTTTCATCTCTAGCTGTGACTACAAGAGAAAGATACTTTCCATTGCGGCGTTTTCATAGTTTACTCACTATAATTTAACTTAGACAAAAGTTACCCGAGACGAAATTCCTTTTTATGGAAGATCTCCAAGAAACGTTAAGGATGTTTCAATACATTTCATTGTAACGTTGTCTTAGAGAAAACATTATATTACGTTATGGAAGACAAATTTTACTATTGAAAATCAAAACTCAATTGTTTTCTCTTTGAATTATTAACGTCAAATGCCATTTTATGTCTACTGTCTCAATACCATATTATATTCCAGTCTATTTATTATCATATTTTGTTGCAAAAAGGAAGTCCCACAAAGACTTTGATTACGTCTCGGTTCCGTTTAACTGTTGCCACACTTCAGAGTCTCCTGTTTGATATACCAAGCAAATAGGGGTGACCCGTACTGGAAAAAAGTAGGCTATTTAAAAAATTCACTCGAAACGGTTAATAACTACCTGAAAGCAACTTGTTATTCAAATTTTACTGAAGCAACCAGACGCAAACTTCTGAAAAATGCTAAGCACGCCTCTAAATTTGTAATTTCTAAACGCAAAGTAGAAGGATTTCCTTCCGTCATGGGCTTTGGAAATGTCGAATCATCCGATGCGTCTATAGTAACTGAAATTTCTGCAGATTTTTTTAGGCCAGTCTACTAATGTCCAAAAGTAGTTTTATTTTATTTCTTTATAAAAATGGAAAACTCTTTGAGAATTATAGGGGAATTGCCAAACGTAGTGCACTGACCAAACTATTTGAATCACTAATACAAAAAAGCCAACTCTTGGTTTAGGGTTAATTATACCGCATTGTCAGCACGGCTTTTTAAAAGGGAGATCAGCCGCTACTAATTTTTGAAGTTTTGCAATTCAAGCTACAAAGCATTTTCCGATCATAAAAAAACTGATGTTACTTTCGCGGATTTTTCCAAAGCTTTCGACAAAATCGATCAAAGGGTGTGAGTTTATAAATTACATCAATCCAGCGTAATTGTCATCACTTCTGGTGTTCCTCGGAGCAATCTTCTCGGCTCGTTTTATTCATTTTATGAATGATCTTCCGGATCAAAAATGAAACCACGGAACATTCCCGTGGTTCCATTTTTGCAGGCGACGTTAAATTGCCCCTCACCTTTAATTCAATACATGGTACTAAATTACTTCAATCTGATTTTGAGATCATGGTGTGCAATCAATGGTATGGTGATGAATTCAAAAAAGAAGAAGATGTCTTTTACATGATATCATACGATGCTCTCTTATTGTCGTTTGACAATCATATCCTTCAAAATGTTTGCAATTACAAAGACTTAGGACTCAAATGTAATAGTCGTATAAAAGTTTCAGTTAATAAAGTTAGATTTCTGTTAGGGTTTATAAAAACATGGTTTAAAGTAGGCGGACCTACTTAAACCGGCTCGGAATTAAAAGGATGAAAAATATACATACTGAAGTATCTCTGAAGTCTCCTTTTGCGTGGTGCAAATATAGTACGCCAGTCAGTCTTAACTATTCGATGAATATAGTTTCAACAGAAATATATACAATCTGTGAAATCATACGATGGATGACAAAAAAAGTCTTCATTGCATCGTGCGATAATATTTCCCTTTTAGATTGGTAATGAGCGAAAAAGAACGCATTTTTCCCAGTCTATATAGAAATCACGTAAAGAAATAGTAATTAATGCAGAGTTTGTATTTCTAACTTGACTTCACTTTCGCAAACCATATAATTTCAAAATGCCAATAAGAAAAAGTAGAATACAACAGATTTTAGTCTGCTTAATAAAAAAATATAAGTTTTATAAAAGATATTTTTAAAATAAGCTTTTATTTAAGTGAAGTAAAAAGTGATATATATTTTTTATTTCAACCACTGTTGTGACTGTGACTATACATAAAAATTTAGAGTGTATGAAAAAAATCAAGATTTTGAAACGTTTCACGCTTTTATATATAGGAAAAGATACCACCGAAAACCCGCTAACAATTTCTTGGTTGTTTCAGATGTTAGTCAGCCAGGCGTACAAATGCACAGAGAATGATGGACGTTTCAACAATGAAGAGGAAATTCTATTTGTTTCCATTGCAAGCGCGTGGTTCTTATAAAATTAACAGTTAACAGTAACATTTGTACAATTCTACCATATTATACTGGTAATTTCAGCATACTGTGCAATATTGAACCATTCAATAATCTTATTGCGTCTTCTGTTAATGTAAATATCTTTACAACTTGTTGGCATGCAGAAGATAAATTCGTTCATTAGCATATTTAATGAC